TTTTTACTTTGAACATATTCAAATATAGCTTTTAAAGCAGCATCAGTAAGATAATAAGTATCTTTTAAATGTAACAAATCTCTTTTATCTTTGATCATTTTATTTTGACGATACTTATTTCGCTTTGGTTCAATTAAAATCGGATCCTCTTCGTAAGAACGTTTAACGCCTCGTGTAGTATAGGTTCGACCTATGATAGCATCTATTTCTTCTTCACTAAAAGAAGGCGAGTCATTAGTAGGAATTTGATCACAGTCGTCTCGAGGCTCATCTATCTGTTCAGCTTTGCCAACTAAAATTGAAAAATAAGAGCTAGAACTAGATGATGTACAATCGAACAAAATGTTTGTTTTAAGTGCTTCTTCAACAGCTAGAATATCTAATCTAAGATTAGATATAAAAGCACATTCACTAATAAGATAAGAAAGTTCATCGATATTTAGCACTCCTAATACGTCAAACGAAGACAAAGTTTTCTTTACGAACATATCATTAAACGTTATTTCTACCATGTTCAACCATGGATAAAATTGAAACACATCGGTTTCATCATTGGTTTTACGAATTAATAGAATAGGACTTGAATTATCCTTATTTCGATATTGAATAAATTCTCCAATTGACTGTACTTCAGTTAAAGGATTAATGAACTTTAAAAAAAAAGCAAAATTACCAATCTTACGTAGAATATGAATTACACTTTTACCGGCAGCACGAACACGTGCAGATTGAACGATACGACTTATTTGTAAGCTTATTTCTTTTTTCAATTTACGAATATATACCGAACATTTCAGTTGAAGAAAAATATATGCACATATATCAGAAAGTATTCTGTCAAGATTCATTGCTCTGTTGTTCTTTGAAAGAGAATATTTGAAATAATCAAATAAATATTCAAACGTCATATCTACCTTCATTACTTCATTGCATACTGAAAAAGAAATATGCCGATCATGAGAATTAGATGATGAATTTTGACTGGCACAACTGTCACTTTCAATACCATCATCTTCACTAACACTTCTTGTCGATGAATCGTCATCGGATGAAACGGTAGGTACAACTGTGTCGCATAATGATTCTACTACATTCGCCGGTATATAAACAGATAAAAATGTAGGTGCTTTTCCATTCTTCTTCGTTAAGAGAAGAGAAACAGCATTTTTACTAGCTTTCTCAACGGCACTCAAACGTGCTTTATGTCCTTTTTCCTTTAAAATATCTATGACTTTTTTCGAAATCTCATTTATTACACTAGAATCTTTCAATGATTCAACTGATGCATTCATAGATACATCAACATCGATTTTCAGCGCACTCTTCATTTTCTCGCAATGATACAGCAAGCGAACGATCAAATCTACTCACTAGATATTGAAGATCACTAACTAGATTGATTATGGTTGATAAGTAATAAGAAAATCTAAAAAAAAAGATATGTGACAATAATCACTCATCGAAGGATCAACCGCTCTAAGATATTTCATCCTTTTATCGTGAACAGAAAGATCTTTTCAATATATATATATATATATGTTCTTTTTNGTAATGCAAACCGACATCAAACTTGACACAAATAAATGTCAGACATACATGATGAAAGTAGAGCCTCAGAAGAAAATAAAACAAGGCTCATCGTGTATAAGCGTTCTTCTAACAATTATCGAATTGTGTATTATTAGGGGTAGAAATAAAAAGTTATTGTCGCCCTTAAATTTCCATAGACGTAGCAATTGATACCCCTCGCATAGCTGGCGCACCGCCTATGTACAAGAGTTAATTATACTTGATAGGATTTGTTTCTCTACTATAAAACATATAATTATTATTTGCTAAAAGCTCGAAATCATGTTTTATTGATTCTGAAATGTGTTTTACTGGACTGCCAATTTTTTTCTCAAGAAAAAATCAATTCTTCCACTTAGCTTGACTCATATTCTCCGATGTATAACTCAAAGATTACAGAAGATGAATAAAATGACGTCAAAACCATAATAATCTTTAAGAATTTTTTTTTCTACTTGCTTCATTCAATGATTGATAGATTATTTTTGAAAAGTTATGATTTTTTATAGTTTGAATAAAGTCGATATTGCCAAAAAAAAATCTTTAGTTAATTTGTACATGCACACAAAGAAAAAGATAGAAGCCAGAAAAGACAAGGAACCAGCGTGCACAAAAGATAAATACATATAGAAGAAAAAAACATGTTATAATAAAAGGAATAGATCAAGTGTTTTCTTATTTTTATTATATGAAAAAGGTAAGGGGAGGTATCGAAGTAATATGCAATTTTTCTTTTGTTAGTTTTTATTTACAAGAGAAAAAAACCGAAAGTAGCCAGTAATGAATTTGATTGATTTCATTAACACTGACACACATCTTTCTTTGGTTGTTCGTCTTGTTGTGGAATACGAATCGGCATTGGAAAATCAGCTTGTTGATCAATTTCTTTTTCACGGGCTAATGCATTACGAGCAACAGTTTCAAATGCTTTTTCAACATTGATACCTTCTTTAGCTGATGTTTCAAAATATGGAATATTGTTTTTTTCTATAACAAAAACAAAATATTGAATTCAATTCCACTTTCTCAAATTAATATTTTACCTTGACACCAGCTTTGTGCTTTACGTGTTGGAATCTAAAACAACAGAATAAACTAGAATAATAAAAAACAACAGAAGCTAAAGTCAGCAAAGAAATTTTACCATTCGATTTTCCAAATCAATTTTATTTCCGATAACCTAAATGTTGAAAAGCTCAATATTTATTTTAAATTATATTATGAAAACTTACGACAAATGGAAAATTTTCAGGATCACGTGGTCCAGCTTGAATAAGAAATTCATCTTTCCAACTTTCTAACGATTTAAATGATGTTGGTGATGTTACATCCATCACGAGAACACAACAATCAGCACCGCGATAAAATGCAACACCTAAACTTTGAAAACGTTCTTGACCTGCTGTATCCCAAATCTACGAACAAAAGAAAATAGTCAACTTCTATTTCCATCATCTGAAAACAAAACTAATTACCTGCATGGTAACAAGACGATCATCGATTTGTAATTCTTTCGTCAAAAAATCGGCACCGATTGTTGCTTTATATTGATTTGAAAACTAAAATTAATCGTCGTAGAGTAAAATATTTGAACTAAAAAAAATATTGTTTTTTATCATTTACTTTTCGATTAACAAATTGATTCATTAACGATGTTTTACCAACGCCGGAATCTCCTAATATAATAACTTTGAGTAAAACTTTCTTTCGTGAAGCCATCGTTCAGATTACACTTGATTATTGATTTTGAAACAAAATTCAATGTAGATATATATCTAAAGAAATAAAACTTCATATTTTTTTAATTGTATTCATGACATATCATTGTCGGTTTTTTTTGCACTCATCAATGATGAAGAAAGCAAAAAACATGAATGTGGAGGTACTTTTTTCGTTTCATCAGCTTGAAGAAGAACAAGGCCTGATAAAACATAGGACTAACAATACAAAAGTTTTTTATATACATAAAAATGATCATCAGACGTTCCGTAGATTAACAACGTTAGTCATTTGATTGTTGCTTGAAATAACATTGGTTGAAAGAAAAGAAGCATGTGCTTACTATACATATATAATTATTAGTAAATCTACTGTAGATGGCGCAACGAGTGCGATGCGCGTGCTTCTTAGTCTAAGCTAACGACGAGGTAAAGGAAAATATGATTCACTACCAGCTGAGTAAAAAAAGTTACTTACTTAACAACAAAATCGTTCAAGAGAAAGTTGATTCACTTCCATTGTGATAATGATAAATGAAATAAAAACCTTCTACAAATCTTTAAGTGATACAAAAAACATAATACAATTTAAAAATTGTTTTTCATTTGCGTTTTTCGCACGCATGATTGCATCAATCAGTCAGAAAGAAGGCTACATGATGCGGTAATAATAACTTTTTGATTTTCACTCTTGATGATATTCGTTTGAATATAACTTATTTTTCATAGAAACCAATAGATGCTATTTCTAAACGTTCTCTAGATGGAAAAAAATACCTACTAGAGTGCAATGAGTATCTTTACTATATTGCATATCACAATAAAATTGAAATACTTTAGACACAACCGTTTGAAAAAACAGCACTGTTTAGTCATGTTTTTATTTCAATTATGCATCACTGAACAGAAACCATTTTGAGCAAAGATTATAATCATAAATTTTTTATAGCATAATATAGTGTTTTCATGATTTTTTAATATTGTTAATTGGTGTGTAATAGTAAATGGAACATAATAACAATTGATATTCTATTTCATACTCAGCAATTGCATTCGAGATATTTTAAAAATACAAGCTTGTCAAATTAATAATAATGTAACATGAAATTGAAGATTTTTCTACGTTAAAAATATGCACGTTGTGATGAGTTAGGGGGATTGACGTACACACTAGCAGAATGGTGATCACAATGTGAAGAAACTGTAGCGCTTCATTAAATGCCACTTACGTTCAATTTATTTATCAATTTATGAAGATGATAAACTATCATTCAAATGAATGAATGACAATTCTCAAACAGTTTCAACTGACTTTGTGTACTATATTTATTCAATGAGCTGAGAATAGAAACTTCTATTCTATATTCAAGCGCCATCTATTTTGAATCCACATTCTATATTCGTATTGTATATGGTTGGAGTTCATTATTTAATGGTTATGGTTCCTAGATTGACATAAAATAAAGTATGGAATAAAAAACTGAATGGGGCTTCTTCATTCTTTTTCTCTCTGGAAAAAATGGATCAATTAATTTACTTGTCCTTTTTCATCGTTTAGATTAGCCAATCATTAAATTCAGAATTTTTTTATTGTTTATTTATGTAAAATGATTATTATATTTAATTATATCAAACAAATCGGAAGCGTATATTTATTAAATGAAAATTAATCAACATTATTTATCAAACAGAATAAAATAGTTTAATAAAACAATGAATGATGAACTAACGTAAGTTCTTGTTCTGTTTTTTTTTGTGAGCATTATCTTTATAATTATCATTTAACTAAGCAACACGTATTACGATATAATATGTTCTAGAATTTGCAAAATATTTTCTTTATTGTTTATCATAAAACATACTAATATTAATTCCAGTAAAATAGAACATATTTCAAAGTGTCATTTTTTTTAAACAAAATTTCTTTTTCACCGATGAATGCTGATCTCTCTTATTAGGACACAAGCAACAGCTGCCCCTATTGTTCTTAAAATAAAAACATACGATGATATCATTCTTCCTCACACATCGTAAGTGATCATAACTACTTACATAATACCTTTTTGATTTTTTTTCTTGAATGAATGAATAGTCGCTTATCAACAGATACTTTAAACGATACGGCTCAATCATCATATATTCCAATTAGTGAAACGTCTAATATTACAACAGTGTCACCCTCGATACTTCGTGTTAAGTTAAAAAAATCCTATATCGATAACGATGAAGAGGATGAATATATAACGTATGAATAAAAAAATGAATCAATTTCTTATGAAATATATTTATTGTCAATTTTTTAGTTCCAATTCGTCAGAGATATCAGTTCGTCCAGCAAAACGTAGTAAAAAATCTGTTGTAGGTGAACATCCTATAAATAATAATTTAGAATTAAATAATGATCAAGAATCTAGTCAACAGGAAATAAACGAGTAAGATATTTTATTTTTCTATTGTCGATCGATTATGGTAAAAATCTTCATATTTAAAGAATCAAACAAAATCACTGTATTATAACTGAGCAATCATCGAATTCTTCTTTAATTCTTAAAATTCGTCGAGATAGTTTAGCTTCGACTATAAGGTAAAGTTTTTACTTATATATATGTATTGTATATTCATTCTATGTCTTATAGCAATCGAAATACAATTGAACCTGAATCCAATCAACAGTTAGTAGTTAAATTTAAGCAAAATGAATATGGGGAATTGACAACAAGTACCAATTCAAATAATATTTCATCGAATTCAATACATAATAATGATAATAATAATAATAATAATAATGAATATACAAATGGCCATAATGGTTCATCACATGAATCATTGAATATTTCACTAAAGCAAGAAGATAAATCTCCAATTCAACCCCATATTACCAATATGTTATCGAATTTGAGTGATGACAATCAATGGAATAATCATCAAATGAATAGAAATCATATTTTTCCACAAACAACAACTACAAGGTATATTCAATTGTGTTCACTGAGAATAATAGATAGAATATTTAATAGAGACCTATAAAATACGGACTAACGTTAGGCTTGCTCAGAATAGCTAGAGAAATAAACGATAGAGACTGAAGAAAGAAGTCTTTCAATTTTTGTTAAAGTGCCATTTGAATTTATGTTATAAATATCATGAATACCCTGCAATGTATGGGTCCCTAAGGTTATTACTACGAAAATAGTTTACTTTTACGATCCTTTTTTTACATAAATATAAAGAAACCCTGCAGGTAAATTGATATTCGAATTTCAGTGTGAAAATGTTATTTATTGTACCGTAATTCAATCCTGAAATACAATCATAAAGTCATCGCGTTTTGTTTTCGCGAATTCTATACAACAAACTACTAACATTGAATATAAACAATGACCATATCGAAAAAATTTACGAGAAACTATTCAGGGCAATGTTATTCAATCGGAAGTTATTTCAATAATAAAAAAAAATATTAAAACTTAATCATATCAGATGATGGAGGACACCAGAACTTGTGGTAGATAAATAAACTAGCTGTATTCGAGGATGATTTAATCTCAGTTTTACAATAAAGAAAACTTTCTTGAAAAATATTGAGAAGTACTTATATTAATACACAGAATTTATTGGATTTTAGATAATCAGATGAAGAGGTCAAATACTGAATCATCATATTGTTATGATTTACATAGTTTGTTAATTATTTTGAAATACTACCGAACTGAACTTTTCACAGAAAAATATAATATCAGTCTATTGTTGTTAATTTATTTAACATATGATATGAGCTACGTAAGCTAACGAGCTTGAACTCATTCGATTAGAATTAATAGAAATGAGATATAGTGAATGAAGAATGGTCTGTAGATAATGGTTAGCTCAAATTTCAATCTGGACACAACTAGACTTGATACTTTTACAAACCTTATAAACGCATGACATTTTCTTCGCTTTCAACTAGTAGAATGTTATGCAATAAAAGTTATTTCTGATGCTAACGATACTAGATATGCATAGTTTTCATTCTCCTATATTCTATGCAATTGGCAAATGTATGAAAATGTATTTTGTCTACTGTCCAAATGTTTTAGCTTGTGAAGAGATATAAATGTCATGTGTAATTAGCAAATTCATTAATAATATAAAATCAAAACGAGTATGTAAAGTAGACTTTCTCGAAAATTTAAATTAGCTAGATTTCTTAGCTAAATTTTTCAATATTAGAGTTCTACAATGTGCGTAGGCAAATTTTGTCAATAATAAAACAAAGGAAGCGAACCAGTCATACAAAAGTAATCAGCATTAATACATTCTGACGTGTTCTGTTTCTCAACAAATTTATATCTTGGCGTTTGCTGATGTCAATATAAAAGAAAAGGCTACTAAATCCTAAGACATGGGGGCAAATTTCTTTTCTTCCTATCTCATCTTTGTTTTTTTCACAACGAATTCAGATGAGAATCGAACCCATACTTTAGAGTGCGAAATTAGCACGGTTCTCTCCTTGTCTATACTAATAGTCCTTGAAAATATCAAGTTTATAGCATCGGTTTCGGTAAGCATCTATTCAATAAGATTAATCATAGTACAGAATCTTAATGAAATTTTATTTCCAACAAAACTAAAATCGTAGAATTCAGGAGAATTTTAGTTTTTCTTCTGATGACTACCGATATTATGAATAATACTATTTTCATATCAACCGACAAGAAATTACAATGAATCTATCAAGCTTTGATTTCCTATTCGAGTTAACTATTATAATTGTTTGCTATACATCGTAAACAAAACTAAAAAATATTTTTAGCCATCTGATGGATGTTAATTCTACTCCTGCAGCAACGACATCATCAACAACAGCAGCTGAAAAGTAACAGCTATTTTTTTTTTTTATTCAAAAATATGTAGAATATTGAACCATATATTTTTTATAGTCATACAAAAGAAATGTTAGACGAAGCATTGGATAGCGTCAAAAATGTACTAATGCAAACATTCAAGAAAAATTTAGAAGCAGGCGGTGACCTCAGGTATTTTCAAATTGATTTATAAAATCTTTCTTATCGTTATTTTTTTGTTTTAGTGCTTTAAAAAGTACCTTAGGTTCAGATGAAGTAGCTGAAGTGTTTCTATCGAAGCTAAGAGAATCACTCAAACGTGAAGCAGTATCAACAGTAGAGAATGAACAAAAGTCACAAGAACACATAAATGCGACCAATGAAATTCGTTCATATCAGCCAACTTCTCTGTCTACTCCTCTAAACACAATCATTTCACCCATAATGAACGTTGTTTCACCCTCTCCATCATCACCACTTCCATCAATATCAACAATAATTGCAAAAAACACTTCACCATCGCCATCCATGTCTTCTCCTTCACCTCAACCATCATCATCATCAACAACAACAACAACAACAACAAGTTGTAACAATAATAACAAACGTAAATCTTCCAATCCAATAACAAATCCAAATCGTTTTGATGGGACAACAGAAGAAGAATTATCAAAACGACTTCTTTCAGATATTCTTCAACCGAATCTTGATATTGTTTTCGTATGTTAATTTATCTTATATTTTAACATACGTGTAAACATAAATCTTGCATGCATTTAGGTCGGTATTAATCCAAGTCTCTATGCTGTACATAAAGGGCACCATTATGGTGGACCAGGAAATCATTTCTGGAAATTACTTCATATGTCCGATTTGATTCCAAATGCGTTTACTGCCGATAATGATTTTCGTATGCCACAATATGGCATAGGTTTTACGAACATAGTGCAACGACCAAGTAAAGCTGGATCAGATATAACCAAGTAAAAGTTTAAAAAAAACGAATAGATTTAATGTTTTTGTTACATTGTTATGTATTTTAGAGATGAAATTACGGCAGGAGCTGAACTATTAATGCAAAAAATTAAAATGTATCGCCCGAAAATTGTTGTATTTAATGGACGAGGTAGGTTTTAGAGAAATGAACTGATTAAGGAACCACTGCAATTATATATATATATGTATGCAAGATTATTTGAATCGTTTTAAATCATCTACGAGAAAAGATATACTACCTGTTAACTGAGCAAGAACAAAATCATGAAATCCAATCCTAAATACATTTATTAACGATTTTTATTTTTTCGACAATTGAATAAATGAAGTTCTCTCAATGAGTTGGTTATTTTTTAATTTAATTTTAGGAATTTATGAAGTCTACGCAGGTAATAAACATTTTCATTACGGTAAACAACCTGAATTATTTCTTGGAACAGATACGGTAAGTAATAATAATTTTCGATGGTTGCTGTTATTTTTAATATAACTGTTTTTCTCTAGCATGTTTTTGTAATGCCATCATCGAGTGCTCGATGTTCACAATTACCACGTGCTGAAGATAAACTTCCATTTTATGTTGGACTAAGAAAATTACGTGATTTTCTCAATGGTACATTGCAATCATTAAATGAAGCGGACATCACATTTCCCGATATAAAAATCAAAGATACAGATGATGTTTTACAAAAAACAATCATACGAATTAGTAACAAAGCATTTTCAGAACTTTCGCCTGAAACACTTAAAACATATGGTGATAAAATTCCATCTGGACAAATGACATCAAAATTTAATTTTGACACAGAAACAACTCAAACAATGTCTATTTTACATAATCAACAAAATGGTAATTTACTTAACTATGATCAGCCAACATCTTCGACCAATGGAAATGTTTCATCGAAAACTTCATATATAGAAAATACATCATCGAATGCCGCCATATCCATGAACGATACAGATCAAGCTGTACTAGCTGCATTAGCTAATGGTGCATATGGATCATCGCCAATTCAACCGCGACAGTCTCAAACAGTTTATGTTGGTAGACAACAACAATCAACTTCATACTCAGGATTATCTTTGAAGAATAATACTTCCACAGGTAAATTTATTCCTGAGTGACTAAATATCGAAGAGGCTTTTAAAAAGAAACTGACAGTCAGACTTTCATTAGTTGAGAAAGTTTATGGTACAATCGCTGCTCGCAACTTATTTTGTATTAGAAAATTCAAGAGTTATATCGTATTGAATTCCAAAAATCATTTATATTTTGTGGAACGTATCATATTTTATAAGAATTCTATATCTTGTGTGGAGAAAAACATTCTAACGACAGAAAAGTTTATCTATGGGCAAAGTATTTCTATTCAGTTCTTTTATAAGTATCATATTATATATTTTTGGAATAGGTCTGATTATCTTTCATCCTTTAAAAAAAAGTACTTTATTGAAGTATATCTAATACACATAATGTAAAGTTCGATGCAGTTTTCAAATTATTTAATTCATCTCTTCAATAAAATATTATTATAATTGAGTCTAACAGTCTTGATTTATTTGTATTCGATCAATTCTTATTCTTCTATTGCAGCAATTCCTATATAAAATTTATAACGATTTAATTTTCAGGTATCGATTCTCGTTTATCAACTCCATCGTCATCTCATACAATTCATCATTTACCACAATTATCTTCTAACGACCATCAATATCAATCCATAGCTTCTTTAAATTCTCAAACTATTTCTCATCAAATAGTTGTTATTAATCCTAAAGAACGATTATCTGCAAATAATCCGATGCTTACTTCATCTTCACTAAAAGATTTATTATCTAGTCAAACATCATTACAAAAACAAAATTTTATTGTGCCACCAAATCCGTCTTCTATACAAAACTCATCAGCTATAAATAATAATCAAGCTAAAACATCAATCAATACACATAAACATACGAATAATACGAATGATGATGGTCTATATCTTCGTTATGAACGTGAATCACCTTCAACTCAAACTTCATATCATTTTTCTTATGTTATTGATGAATATTCATCGTCAACACAAAAGCGTTTACGATATGTTTCAATAAATGATTTATAAAAGCAAAAAGGAAACAAAACGAATTCAATTTGTGCATTATTCTCTTTCGTCAATTGTTGTTCGTATATAGATTTTAATTTGCTGTGTGTCTCGTCAACAGAATCTCTCTCTCTATTTGAATGAAATTAACAAAATTTTGTTGTTTTTTGTTTTCTTTTTGATATTTGTATAGCAATAATATTTTTTTTGTGCTTTCTTTGTACGTGTATGTACCTATTCTCGTACTCGGTGTATTTGACTCTCGCTGTCTCTCTGTCTGTCTCTCTCTCTCTCTCTCTCTCTCTCTCTATAATAGAGAAATAGAAATTATTCATCGTACTTTTGATCTCTGTCAAAATAAAATTAATTATTCGACTTTTTTTTGTATATATTAGATATGAGTAAAATGGATGATAATCATCGGTATCATCCTTATTATCGAACAAAAAATCATCATAATGATAGACGATACGATCATGATTATAAACATCAATATAAGAAAAGTACTAAACATTATAACCAACATTCAACATCAAGACGTGATAATAGAAATTATACTGATCTTTCTCATCGACATTCTCATAGAAATGATTATCCTTATCAAAATCAAACTCATTCATCGAGATCGAGATCGTATACTTGTTTTTCTACACCGCCCCAACCGTTAATGTCTACTGAAATACCTCCGTTACTTCCTAGTCTTTCTCCGCCACTGCCACCGCCACCACTGCCTTTACCGTTATTTGCTCCTCCGCTTCCTTCATCACCCACAGTTGTACCACATCAACGAGAATCATGGATTCGTTCAGTGAAAAAAACTAAACTGAATGAAAGTATGGAACAGAAAACACAATATCTAGAGACAATACTTCGTATGCCACAACAACAAAAAACTTTACTAAATTCATCAAGATTCGATCGAATGCGTTTTGCTGATAAGCAAATATCAACCACAATACAAGCAACTACAAACGATAGTGATAATCTAGACAACAGTTCTTTTCATTTCATCGGAGATATCAGTAATCATGATGAAATATGTACTTTAGAAAAAGTTTTATTTAACAATGAACTCAAATCACAAACAACAGCAGATGATAAATGTACAACTATTGAAACGTTGCCAACGCCACCCTCATCCGTATGTAAACTTGTATTGCTCTTACGACGAGACTTAGTCATTACTATTATATTGAAAATATATGTAAAATAGCAATAGTTTAAATGTTTTTTTCCTCTATAAATTTCTTATCAGTAAGATTAGTCAAATCCTTCAATCAGAGTATTTCAATAGCTATAAGAATTTGTATAAAAATTGAACAAGTCTATAAAAGTGAAAAATTTGCAGTACGATTAGATATTTTCCATAGTCAGGTAACAATGACAGAAATAAATGTAAAAAAATTAACAATTGTCAGATATCATGTTATATTTTTCGCGATTAACTTAGTAAATTTTACACATAGCAACAGGAACGTTGGAAGTCAATGAAACTAAAACTTCTCAGGTTAGAATAAAGTCAAAAAAGTTCTAAATAAACCAATTTATGATTGTTTCTAATGAAAAATCTAAAATCAACGCATAGGAGATGTCAGACAGTAATGCATCAATATTTCATAACCATCATATGATACGTAGAAAAAGCAGAAACTACTTTAGTTATAACTTTAAAAAATAGTGCATACATAAAATAAACTAATTAGCCAATGAAGTCAATATCTATGTTACATTCAGCTGACTGGAGCATGTCAAAGAAGACTAACAAGACAGATAGAACATAGAGGATCAATAAGGAAAACAAAAACTTTCTGTTCAAATTGTCGAAATCAATGAGACCATTCATTTCCATGGCAATTAATTCGTCTTAAAAAGTAGCTATGATCTCATCGAATTTCTCACTGTTCATATTTTTTATTCACAGTAAACAGCGTGTAAGCATTTTTCTAGAACAGTTCTAAACATTAATATATGGTTGCTAATTGTTTAGATATTTGTCTTTTCCGATAGTTATAATTTGGTTGATTGAAATGATTTTGAATATGAATTTATCAAAATATTTATTTTTAATTTTATTTGTAAGCTCATCGAATGTAAATCAATTTCTCATCAAGATCGACAAGCGTTGCTATGTTCTGGTTTTCTTATCGATGATTGCGATGAAGAAGAAGTTCCTCCAGTATCACCACCACCTCGATCTCCGCTTCCACGTCCCTCGCCAGACGAATTTATTGAGCAAAACGATGAAGACGTTCATGAACAACGTGTTATGTTAGTTCACGAACTGGACGCTGCTGATGCTGAGCAACGACAAGAATTAAAACGTCAAAAGCGATTGCATAGAAAATTACAAAAGAAAAAGAAAGAAACTAAACAATCGATAACAAACTCCTCTGAAGAACAACAAATCATTTCGACGGTTCCTGATCATCAGAAACAAGAATCGCTATCTGATTGGGTTATTGAATATGATATTAATGGAAATAATCCAATGTCACAGCTAACTGATGAAGTTCGTCGAGCATCAATAACTATGACTGATCAAGATAAAACAGAAAAAGTTAATATGATTTTAATGAAAATAAAAAAACAACAAGAAGAATTGAGAAAACTAAGGCAGTACGTTGTGTCTATGTTGGGAGAACAACCACCACCACAGTCAAAAAAGAAACGTCAACAAAATTCTGAATTAGATCATAGTTTATTGGTGAATTTTGTTAATCAACCACTACCATCTGGATGTTGGCTATGTTCAGGAAAAATGTACGCTGAAGCAGCTATTCAGTGTGATGACGTCACTGAACAGTAGTTATCGTTATTGTTATTATTCTGGTTGATTTTCTATTTTAATTACCCATTCATTTCATTTAAATGTACAAAATATCTTAATGTATATTCGTTATAAAGCACTTTACTACGGAAGCATTCATATAAATAGAGATAAATATACCGAACCACAAGTCTTTCTCGTTATTTCACGTGTTACTCCTTTTTATCTTGCTAAATAAAGACATTTGAAAATTAATTTGAAAAACAAAATAGTACAACTATCATTCGGGAATATAATTTGAAAATTAGTAAACTCGATTGCTCATATGAAGATTCAAACTGGACATAGTTCAGCGTTGTTATAGGAAAACGTCAATAAGAATACATCTAAATTGAACACTGGCCTAACTTTTTGTTTACTAACTAGATTCAATACGATTATTTTTAGTAGTGGTGACTTTCAAATTCTTCGAACAAAGTCTATAACGGACGCGAGAAACTATAATACTACATCTCGAGTACTTGATAGATGCGATTGCGAAGCACTTCATAGTAGTGCATCGCGAGTTTTCTTTATATATATATTTCTTCAAAATTTTCTTTATAGTATTAACGTTTTTTTGTACATATGTTATAAAAAGGGGCACCACACAATTCTCTACGAGAATACTTAAGAACACTTGATCTTGAATGTAGGTGCGAAAATTCGAACAAGTGGAATTTGTGTTCAACTTTCTAAAGCTTTTGCCTAAAAGTACTAAAATCGTTGGCTATGATTATGAGAGTTGATAGAAACAAATGAGAAAGGTTTTCCTAACAGTTACGGGTGCTCTTGATCAAGATAAAGGATGAAGCCGTTTTAATCAAGTTTTATGTCTCAATTGCGATATACGGCTGCTACAACTTTGCCTGAAATGATTCATGCTCGACTTATTTGACTCCTTTGATTCAGAGGAAGTAGATTGAGATTGGGATTTAGAACTTAGAGTGTGCTAGGCCATTTATTTCTCGTCAACTAACAAGTTCCTATTTTATCGGCATAGGCAAACTTTCTCAATGCTGTGAAACTGCTAATTAAAGCATGTATCTTTTTTTTTCACAATCCAAAATAAAATTATCTTCTGCTCTGTATTGCCACGTGAGAATGCTGATTTTCCTACCTACATTGAAGATTAAATGTCCTTATGCATTTTCGTAGAGAATTTCACGATGCATCTTTCTACAACAGGCGTAGAAAAAACTGTTAAGGCTTTAAAAAGAAAATTTCCAAGAAAAAGAATTATCCTTTTATTCAGAAAACCACTCGATATATTTAAGTTTTAAAAAAGTTTCGGAATTCAATGATAATATACGCGGGATTAAAATATGTTCTCATGTATTTGTCTCGTTATACATTAATCGATTCCGACTGAATTCGACGTGAAATGATTCAAAAAATACAAAAAGCCACAGCTTTATACTTTTCTTCGTGTATATGTATATTCCTATTTAAATGTAAACAATATACGAATAGGATTTATCTTTTAGAAAAGAAATGTATGAAAAATTGAAAGGAAAACGATGTAGAAGTAGAATAAGTTCACAAAGTGGATCTTTCTTTTTAAGGATACCTGAGTTTCTGCTAAGTTAGTTTCTAATCTTGACGCTATACGACCAAACATTTCTGTAAAAAAATATCTGTCAGCTTTGAAGTTTCTAAGAAAAAGTCAATATTCCACTTCCTTGTTTTGTTAATAAGTATTTTTCGTCTATCAGAAAATTTGTAGTTTAATCAGGGGAAATAATGCAGATTCAAAAATTGCAAAACAGATATACACACTTGAATCTAGAGTAGGACATTATTACTTGATTCTTGGAATGTAAATTAATTTTGAAAAAGAAAGACCGTGTCCTCTGTAAGCAAGTTGATAAGAAAATAAAATCAAGAAATTGAGATTTATTTTGTGCAACAGCTTATAATAAAATCAGCAAACGCTTGTCTTAGTTGTTGAACTGTAAATGTAGCAAGAGTGAACCAGAATAAAAGAAAACAAACGTCTTTTATATCCCAGGTCGATCAACTTGGGTCGTACACGGCCGTTTTTTGCCGTGCCAAAAACTATCGTATACGGTCGGATACTGAAATATCCGACCATATTACGGCCGTTAGTAGCCATTTATGACACGACGAAATACGGCCGTATACATTGCTGTACGTGACCGTTTACGATCGTATCAGGTCGTCGTAATGTTCGCCCGGGGATGTAAACAATTTCTATTCGGCCGACAAAATACCAGTTAATACAACTGTCTGTATTGCAAAAATGGCAACTAAAACACGAATAAACATGGGTGTTAATAGAATAAACAACTTATTAGTTGATACACTACAGTTACAGAGAGCACGAGCGCACTAAACAAGCACAATAAAGAGAAAGACAGGAATTCTTCTCAAAGCGTGCTAACATTATATTGACAACATGCATAACTCTTAGACTTTCAAAACTAGTGAAATTTAATATCCCGATATTAATAATCATCTGCGAAAGCTCCAACATAACGACGTGATGGGTTTTCACCATCATTTCCAAATGTATCGTTATTCAAAGGCTGACTTTTAGAGTAGATAATAGCCAATGAAGCAACTATTTTAGTAATTGGAAGCGTTTGCCTTCAATGTTTTCTCTGTATTGAAACCATCTAGTACGTTGTTAGTTTAGTGTGTTTTCAACTTTCGACGAGCTTTGTCCAATTCTTAGTGCGTGGCTTTCTTTATCTAAGTTGAATACTTGATGTTAATTGGCTTTGAATAATGTTTTCTTCTTTTTTTATTAACAAAACTCAATAATTAATAAATACCTAAATATACAGTCTAATTGCATTTTAAAATCTAACATTTTAATCAAACTATGCAGTCTATATTGTTTTTATCATTAATCAAATTTATTGTTGAGTACTTTGTTCACTTAGTTTAATATCAATCATATCTTTTTTTTTTTGAAACTTATCGGATAATGCATCACAAAGTCGCCTTGCATCCTCAAGACATTTTCTATATAAACCAGCATTTGTTTCAAAAATTTTGCTAGCTTCATTTGCATGATTAATTCCAACATATACCAAGCGATAATTAAGCTCATCGTACATAAATACGTCTTCGATTTTATCTTGATAACATCCGTTCCACCTTTTCATATCGGCAAAACTGCGAGCCGTATTACAATAGATATATAATTTCTTTAAATCTAAATCAGAAGCATCAGCATTATTATCCCAATCAACTAGTTTATTATTAGTGATAAATATTTTAATAGTTTTTTGGCGATTATTACGAATATGTTGTTGACAATCGGGTAAAGTATGATAGGTACGGATAAATTTCAACAAATGTGCATGGGCCACTTCCACCGCTATCGAAGGACCTGTTTGATCACGATGATCATCGTAAAGTAATAGCCAATGAGTATCTACCAGAGAATAATTGGTGTCATATTCTATGTCCTCAACTGTATTCATCTAGAAAAACAGAAAACGTTTAAAACATGTTCAAGCGAAAACGGGGTTATTTAATGAAAAAAACTTTTCATTCAAAAATCGACACAATTTTTGTGCTTTTACAAAAAAATCGCGAGCTTCCTTTAATTGATCGTTTTCCTGATAATTATCACCTAATTCTCCATAATGACCTATGAGATCATATGTCAAACGATAATAAAGATCATTTCGAGTATCAAAAGTTTTTTCATCGGAATTCGTTGACTGACCATAAAAATAAATATTTTTAACATTAGAAAATTGACGAAAACCATTTGCAATCGATTGTTCAGAACTAGTGTTCATAATCAAAAATATATCATTTCGATGTTCATTTTCGACTATATAATAATGACAAGTATGTTGGTTAAAAAAGGAATGATAAGACGAAAAATATTCTCCAAAAACTTCCTTGAGAGACTCCATATCTCCCACTTCTGGCCTCAACCAAATTATGGTTAACGCTATATTATGCAATGGTTTCTTCGGAGAGTTCTCTTTCATTTGCTCGTATACTTTTTTAATTTCATGTTCGACTCTATTTGCTTTCATTTCTTGCTCGTTAGCTTTGTCTGGTTCTCCGATTTGATTGTATCGACAAGTTTCTAATCGATATTTTTGAACTATTGCGTTAGATAATTGATCTACTAGGTCTTGAATAGTCGCAAAATGATATGGGTCTTCAAAATTGCAGTCATCACTATTCAAGGCATAGATTGTAACACACGTTGGTACATTTTTCAATGTTGCAGCGAATTGGGTTGTAGTAAACAGTAAGATGATCTTATTGGGCCATTGCGAGAAATCGAGCTTTGTTTCATTTTGATAGATAACTATAGAATCAGATGCCAATGAAAAGAGAGTAGCTAGCAGAACTGAAGTTAAATCGTTCAAGTGTGATGATAAATTTATAACAACAAATTGAACATCGGCTAGAGAAGCTGAAAAGAAAGCATGCATTCATATTATGAAATCGTTTTTTTTCTTGGAATCGAATGTTTATTAAGTTTATATTCCACCTATGAATAGAATTCTATAAAAAAAAACAACTAAGATTGTATTTGTACAATGAAAGCTTTATGTTTTGAATGCTTATTCATGAAAATGAAATGTGCTCGTCATTTGTTTCTTGGCTTTATGTTAAAACAACAAATCTCCTTTTAACAATATTAATAAAATCCAAGTTAGTCATTTTATATCTTCAAAAGAATTTTGCTTCAAGAATAATCAATAATGCCCATAGGTATTACATTTCTCGCTTGATTGGAAAAATCTGTCTGCCATTACAAATTGATGTTTACGAGCAATAATTTATGTTTAAATTGCATTTTTAATCAGTAGAATTTCTCATGTATATAACCGATTAGGTTTTCAACTCGAGAGAACTATGAAAATGAGTTCGATTCACCTATGAATTCCAACAACGTTCGCACACTCGTGCCAAATGCAGACTCATCTGATTTAAAATCTATGAAACGACTTTGGAAATCATTTTTATCCGGATGATCTTTGAAAAATAGTTTTCGTATTCCTATAAGACTAGAATTTTGTCATTTACATGAATTTGTTTGACGACTTGTCTTCGATAATTCTTTATTTATTCGTGGCATTAAAGCATGCTGTTTTGGCAATTCATTGGAAAGGCGTTGGCAATAAGCTATCGCCTTATCTGGCTTTTCGCAATAATGAAGCAAATCACTTATAATGCATAAATTAAGATCGCATTTTAATTGTTCTTTCATTTTCGATAATTCATTCAGGTCATTGTCGCCGATTAACGTTAGCTCAAGTACCCAAATTGAATTGCGTAGTGTTAGTGAACCAATTCGAAATATTGAATCGCACATAAAAAGTACCTCGTGACCTATTTGCTTACTAATATCAGAATTTATATCAGAAAGAACAGCAAAAGATGCTACACCAGGACGATATGTTGCTTTTATATCAACCAGAACTGTTTCAAATTGATCATCCGCTTTCATAGTAGAAATCAATTTATTTTTGTCTGTAGATGCAAATAGAAACCCATTAAATGTTAATATTTGACCTGGATTCGCTAAAATATGGTCCATTTGTGATTTCATCATCTGTTGTATTCGAAATACACGCAATGAATTTGCTTGATGTTTCATCAGTTGTTTATGAATATCAATCAGAAGGAAACGCAAAACAAATAACATATTGATGTCTTGTTCACGTAATGCTTTATTAACAAAACGTACCAGTGGTGTATCGTTTGTCAGCCATAGAACAGCGTCTTGTGAATCATAGGTTTTTTCAAATGTAGTTATTAGACTTGACCCGTACTCATCATTAGAACAATATTCTCGAAGAATTTGAATAAACTCACGAAATGTACTACTCGATGGTAAATAATCCGATGACAGAAGAATTTCAAGTAGAAGATTATACCATGTATATGAAGCAATTTTAATATCAAGAGAGTATGTTTGTAATGCTTTTGAATCTTCAACATTTTCAAGGTTATTTTGATGCATTGATATTTGTTTTAGAAGCTCGTCTGTATCTGAAACAACACTTTGAACTTTCGAATAATCCATCGACCAAGTTTTATTACGATTAACATCCAAACAATAAACATATATAGAAATGATTGTAGGTAAATAATGAACTTTAGGAACAATTTGGTTACCATACGCACCCGATACAATTAATATGAGTTTTTCATTGGCATCATATTCTTTGAGCCATTTTTCGCATGTCGTGACATTGTCAAATGTGTACAAACACGTGAGAACTTTTCGTAATTTAACTTGAGTTTCTCTATTCTCATCACTTGTATTTACGTGAGGATCCAGCCAGACGAGCAAAAATGTCTCAAGAGCTATCTGCTCATTTGATGGTATTGTTAGAAAGAATTTTGAAGAATTTGTAGAACTTCTTTTCCATAATTGAGAAAAAAAGTTTTTTCCTGTTTTATTACCCATTTGTTCTTTTGGTAAATAGCTGCTTAAAAAAAAGGCGAATGTTATCTCAGTGTATAGAAGAGAAGGAAAAACAAGTTCTTGTTATCTTTTTTTTTACCATTCAAAGAAAAAGAAGTTAAGACAACAATAAAAAAAGTGAAGAAAAACTACTGTATTAGCATAATTTTTTTAACATAGCTGTTGACAAAAAATATAGTCTCACGATGTCGTATTCGTTTAAACATACACTTTACTAATTGTTTGCTGTGAATTTTGAATATTTTGATCCGTACGATTAATATCGTCGTGCATAATATCTAAATAATAACAAATATTTAGTTTTCAAACAAAATAAATATAAAATAAAGACACAAACTTAATGCTTTTTCAGTCGCTTCCTCGATGAGTCTTATTGAAAGAGCAACAATGTCAGATCTAACCGTTTCACACGATTCCATCTAAATAGTATTCTTTTCTGTCAGCATACTTGCTTATATAGTGACGACTGGCGCTAATAAAAATTGCCGATGATGACAGCTGCTATCATGGGCGACAAAGCGCAAAACTGTTATCAGTTGTTTTTTTTTTCTTTTATACATTGTCCTTGTCTTTAATACGATGACAATCACACTAATCATGTTTTCAAACATTGAGTTTATCAATAGAAAATATTTATCGAAGAAGATTTGTTTTCTTCTTCTTTTATATGTATTCAACAGTTCAATAATATAAAATCAAAACGAATATTCTACAACAAAATACGAGTAATCGCGGATTCTGTATTGTCACAATTTCGTCTTGTAAATGATTTCGTTTTATTTTATTTTTCTATGCGCTGTTCTTGTTACGATGAAAAAAGAACAGAAAAAAAAGTTGTTTCCTTTGCAACTTTCTCTTTATCTGGTGTATTTTGAATGAAACATACCAATGTAATTCATTCCGTTTTTTTTTCCTTCCACGACTATTTGGAAGACCGATGAGTCAATAGAAAGAAAAGAAAAAAGTTTCAGGTGATAAATAGAGAACGGCATGAGAAGTGTACTGCTCTCACGCATCTGATAAACATATTCACAACAACTGTTACTAATTTCTTCTTAAATGGGTGGATGTGCTGGTAAGAATAAGTCTAAAAAGTCCAATTCTAATGAACTTAAATTGGATTCAAACAAAGAGCCAGATTCAAAAGCAAAAGGTTTAATTTGTGAAACATGTTCTTTTCATGATATAATTATGTGTAAATTTAGATACGAATTCCCGATCTAATGTTTCATCGTCGCAGTCGAAGGTATTTTACTTCAAAATAAAAAAGTAGATTCTGTTTTTCAAGCACATTTTTCATAGTAACTCTTGCAGACTTTAACATCGTCGAATGGTGTGATAGTAAATAATGATAATAACAAAACTAATCCAAATACGGGAAAAAGTGGTATCGATCGGGATGTTCAAATTGCAATAGACGAACAAAATGGAATTAGCAATGCATTACGTCAACCAGTTTCTAATCGCGTTGTACCAGTGACAGATGCTGAACTTGAAATTGAACTAGCTAGACTTGTGTATGGCAATCCAGAAAAAGATTACGCAGAGAATGCATCTATTGTTCCTGTTTTCAAAAGTACAGAAGTTTAATGATGAACAGGAAAAAAAAGATAATTTTTTAAATAAAACGAACAAAAATGAAAATATTTATCGAGATAATTCGTTTCTCAATGAATCGATAAAATTTTTATTTTATTTTTACTCGAATGACTAAGAAAATAGATATGTCAAGATTGATTATCATCACATTGCATGTGAACGTTGGTTTTATCATGTTTCATCTTAAAATATAAGAATGCGAAAAACAAGATTAACTCATTGCAAGGAAATTTGATCTCATCAATATATGATTTCATAGATACGTTTAACAGTATCATTGAGATTCATTACTCCATGGCATCTGTGCTTGTTTTTTCCCTATCTATTTTGATTGCTTTGCACAAACTAAGCGTTTAACATTCCTCTAATACTTCGTTTATATTTATTATTATTCAATATAGCCTAAAATCTTTTACTTAGGCTAACAAGAAAGTAACAAATAAATCTATTCTAAATATCCTAATGAAAGAAATGCTAAAATGTTAATAATATCTATATGTGTGTGTATGATGACGTAGCGTATTTTGTTCCTAAGGTTATCGCGAATGTTAGAGTAAGCCACTCATCATAATCTGTCTTTCTCTCGCCTTTTGACATTGAAAAACAAGGGCAAGCTCCTAGCCAATCAATTTGTTAGTTTTTATTAAATTTTTTGTAACAATCAACATCAAAATCATGATAGTTTCGAGTACAATTCTTTTATTGTCAGGAGAAATTTTTCCCTCATGTCTAATCAAGAAAGATGTCAATGAATACAAATCTGCATGCCATATGTACGAAAAGAAAATTATGATTAGGATCAATTATTGTTACAAAGATTGAATGATAGTAAAGTCTATTGGACTAAAATGACATATGATCTGAACTTTGTAAATTGAATTACGGCGGTGATCGTGAAAAACGTAATATAATCTATACAGCAAACAATTCATAAAGAATAGCAGAATATTTAAATGTTTTAATCAGTGGCGGAACCAGGGGGGGGGGCTCAGCTCCCCCTAGCGAGATTTTAGAAAATGCATTTTTTACATAAATATGTAGTGATGTTTGCAATTTTTCATGTTTTAGTCAGTGTTGTCCGCTATGAAACTCAAAAACTCCCGCAAGAATCAATAAAAAATTTCAAAATTTCCCAAAAAATCCAGAACATCTTCAAAAATTTCAGAAAAACCTTCAAAAAAAGCCAAAAATCTTCAAAAAAATTTCTAAAATCTAAAAAAAAGCTTTCAAAATCCGAAAAAAACCCAGAAAAATTGTCAAAATTTCCAAAAAAAATCCAAAATGACTTTCAAATTCTCAAACAATTCACGAAAATTTTTTTCGGTGGGGGGGGGGGGGGGGGGGGGGGGGGGGGGGGGGGGGGGGGGGGGGGGGGGGGGGGGGGGGGGGGGGGGGGG